GATATATGTGCACCCAGGTTCATAGCAGCACAATTTGTAATTCCTAAACTGTTGAAGCAACCCAAATGTCCATCCACTGAAGATTGGATAAAAAAATTGTGGTACTTCTATGAAGATAAACTCGAGGCTTTTATAGGTAAATGGTCACAACTAGAGACCATGCTCATAAGTGAAATAAATCAGACCTGCATGTGTAAGAATCATATTATCTCACTAGTGTAAGACCTGAAAGAGTGAATAAAAACTGGGAGGTATGATACACAGTGTGAAATGAAAGGAAAATGCTCAAAAGTAAGGGGTAACTGGGGTGTGGGAAAAGAGAAGGGAAAGAAGGGGAAATTATGTCAGTATGTATATACAGGATAGGTAACATAGTTGTACTACTGTCTTCTGTTCCTCTACAGAAAGGAATAGTTAATGATTACTTGTTTGATCAATCTTGTATATGTGTATTTGTTTTCTTGAGGAATCCCTTTGAAGATATCAATAAGTAATACAACAACCATTGTTAATTTCCTACAAATTTGTCTGTAACCCTGTTTTGTTTGTATTGTTCTTATGCTATTTTGTAAATGGATGTCTGTTTGTTAATATGTTTTCCTTCTTTTATTTCTTAAAATAAAAAAAGAGATTCCCAAAATAATCAATAGAAAAAACAAAGTATATAATAAAATAACACATATCCAGGCCCACCAAAATAATCTTAGGGAACTAAAAATAGGAAGCATCTTCTTTAACCTGATAACCATTATTTGCCTGTAGCTCATATTATTATTTCATACTGGAAACTCAGAAGCTTGACCATGAAAGATACAATATCTGCTCTCACAGCCAGTATAAAAACAATTTAGGTGATAGCCATGGCAGTAAGAGCAGAAGACAGAAGAATAAGCGGTAAACGGGCAACACTAGCATTATTGGCAGATAATGATACAGCCAAGTACACAAGGAACCCAGAATTATCAGAATTTGAACAGAATTCTCCTCTGTGACTGGACACAAGTTCATCATGGGAAAATAAGTAACATCTCCAGACATCAACAGAAACTCTACAGTACCTAGAAATAAGCTTGAAATGGAATTGGCAAAGACTACAGAAAAAATTCAAAACTGACCAAGTAAGTAGAGGCAGACATTGTATTTATGCACAGAAAAATGAAAAACTGGAAAGATGTGAATTTCCTGAAACCCATCTGTATTCAGTGTAATCTAATCAAATGCTAACAGTTCTGTTTTTGAAATTCTGCTTTCAAAATTACTATGAAACAATGGAATGGGGTGGAAGGAGAGAGGTATTTGGAAATGAGTGCGTATGTGGGGGGAAAAGGACGATTCATGGAACTTCGGGGGTGTAGCTCAGTGGCAGAGCAAGTATTTAGCATGTGTGAGGCCCAGCACCAGGGAAAAAAAGAAAGAAATGTACACTATATGTGCTTGAAACACTTAAGAAATAAAATAAATGTAGAGACAGCCAAATGTATTACGGAAATTTGCTTTTTCAAGACTTACTAAAAACCTACAGGAATTGAATATGGAGAGAAAAATAAACAGACTAAGGGCCAAAGTACAGCATTCAACACTAGGCCTGCATTTAGGAAAATTCAGTATACAATAAAATGGCAGTTTATGTCAGTGAGCAATGATCAGACTATTCAATAACAAATCCTGGAACCAGTTATCTGTTGGGAAAAAAAGCAACTAAAGTCAGACCCTCTCCCTTACATCAAAACAAGAATAACATCCAGATAAGTAATTAAACATAATAAATATAATTCAAAAACTCAAGAGAATATCTAAAAGCATATGCAAAAGCTCTGCTTCATTTGGAGCTGTGTGGAGTCACCTGAAACTTAATGACAAGATAAATTCTGAGCAGTGCACCATTAGGTGATTGTGTTGTTGGGCAGACATCACAGAGTGTACTTACAGAAACCTGGAGGGTAGATCCGAGTACCGCCTAACTGCACGTGCTGGTTCCTTTCACATGACTGGCGGAGCAGAGTCTGTGTAACCAGCACCAGCACAGACACCAGAGTGCTGAGTTGCACTAAGACATTACTATGCTTGAGACATCACCAGGCAATAGGAATTTTCCACTCCACTATGCATTAGCAGGGTAATCATACATAGGATTTATGGTTAAATAAAATATTGTGTAGTACATGTCCTGTATTTCTATTTTTATTCTCTAATTCAGTTTAGCTGTTTGAGATAGTTTTAAGTTTTTATTCGGATTGCTTTGCCACTTGCTACTTATTCCAGACCCCACAGTTCAAGTTTCTCTATCGTTTTTCCTATTTTACCCACCCCAGCTCATCCCCAGTACCACATACATTACTATCGCAAGGCTATTTTTGCACCTCTCATTTCATATTAGAGATCAATCTATGCATCTGATGAAGCAGTTGGAAGACTTCACATTCATAAATACATGCTAGCTCTGTGCCAGCTTCCAAATCCCTCCTGTCCAGCATTTCATTCACTTTTCTCTCCTAGAACAGATGTGTATACAGTCTTATTTTCTAAGTAATTTCATTCCAGTATATTCAGTCCCTCATGAAATCTGAAATAGCATCTTTTATTTCCCTCCGTCAGATATGGAGCAGTTTCAGCAGGAATGTTATGTGCCCTTACCACCCTGTCCCAGCAACTAGAGAATGAAAATGCAGTGGATGTTTTCCAGGTTGCAAAGATGATCAATCTTATGAGACCAGGAGTATTCACAGACATTGTAAGTAGTTTTCTGATCTTTAAAACCTGTGTTATGTTTGCATACATTGTAGCACAGGGGTTCTCAGCTGAGAGCAATTTTTCTGCCAGGAGACATTAGGCATTGTCTGCAGATGTTCTGTCACACCTGCAGATGACAAAGGATATTCTGGCATTTAGTGAGTAGAGGCCAGAGATACAGTTAAATATCCTCCATGCACACGGCAGCTCCTAATAACATAGAAATATCTGGCCCCAAATGTCAGTGCAGCAATTGAAAAATTCTGCTTTAGAGTCTAGAGTTGTCTGGTTATAATATGTAGACATTCCATTATCTTACCTGACTTTCAACAATGAGAATAGTTTCCACGTTAACAGAGATAAAATAGATACAAAGAATGTATAGCTCATAATTACACAAGTGATTTTCTTAAAGTTTTTTAGGTAACATTTCTGCTTTTCCTGTCTCCCTAGTAATTTTTTCACAATTCTATTTTTCATTAGTATTTTCATTGCACAAGATCACTATGCTTCTGTGGCTCAAACTCTTCCTCTTGTTTTTCAGGAACAATACCAGTTTGTCTATAAAGCAATGCTCAGCTTGGTCAGCACTAAAGAAAATGGAAATGGTCCCATGGCAGTGGACAAAAATGGTGCTGTTCTAATTGCAGATGAATCAGACCCTGCAGAGAGTATGGAGTCTCTTGTGTGACTAGAATTCTGAAAGGGAACTTCTTTGTAGACTTCTGAAGACTGAAAACTTTCTTGAGGCCTTTTTTGCCAGACTCTAGGTTATACAATAACCCAGTTACTTTTTTACACTGATAAAAGTTTTGATATTTATTTTTTGCCATTTTATGTCTTAATGGTATCCTACCAAGCATTTGCACCTCTGTTCATTTCACACGGTGAAACACAATTTTATCTAGTTTGCACTATATGATCAGTGTTACTGCCTATAATCCAATTACTAAAGCAAATCCCAATGTGACATTCCATGACAACATTCATGCTACCTTTTTGTTCAGTACAGTGAAAGTCTTTGCTATGACAGTGAGTCTTGATTTTATTACTATTGCTGAAGCAGTTACATTCTACTAGCAGGCAGTGTACTTTTCCTTAGTCCTCCCCTCCCGTTTTTAGGCACTGTTCAAGACTGTATGCCTTCTGTACTTTAATGGAGTGGAGGAGCATTGTTTTCTTTTACAGAATACTAGGTTGTTGGGAGCTACTCAGAAGGTCTATCAACATCATGGCCTTGAAAGAGTTCCATTTATGATGGTTAAGAGATCCATTAGGAAATTAGAAGGCTTGGACTGCTTCATGTAAACATCTCTTATTAGTTACAAAGTTATATTCAGAGCTTTTAAAAATGTGTCAAAATAAAGGATAACTCTGTATTACAGCTTTCACAGTAGCTATGTGGACAGTGTGTGTTATTTACATTTAACTTCCTGAAATAGCTATCCCCTAAATGCAGGGCTACCTTTTATAATAGAGACATGGCAATATTTTACATAATTCAGTCATAAGACCCATTAGTCAATCTCCACTAATGCTTCTTGCTTTATAATACTGTACCTCACAGACAATGAAGTAGGATAATGAAGAATTTTGCAGCTGTCTACTCTTGAAACTAGCCCTCTAAAAGTTCCCCACTACTGATGCAGCAATCTGATAAAAATTACCTATCTACTTAACATTCTTTTCTCTCCTTTTCTGCCAAATATTTCCTAATAAATCTCTTAATTTCATTCATTCTTCTACTTAAAATTAAGCTGAAAATAACGTATTAGCAAAAGTCTTGGGAATACTGAAACTCCCACATGAGTAGGTCTTATTGGAAATGAGAGAATTAAGCAATTAGAAAACTGAATAAAAGTTGATGTCTGCATTTTCAAGTAGTTTTTAAAAGGAGATAGCTCTCAATGCTTTTGGGTAGTTAAGCATCAACCACAGATAAACCTTGGTAAAAGATGCCAGCAATCATCAGAGAGCCTAAGGAAGTTACTTGGTCCAACCTCTGGAGCCGCGTTAGGCGTACAGTACAGAAGGGGACAGTTAGGAGACCGGACTCAGTAGAGTTTGCTAGCAATGTAAACTCCTTGCTGAGGTCTGTTACTTCAGTTGCATGTCTGCTTTCATGGGTCAGCCGCTGGCATCACCAGAACAGCCCCATTAAGAATAACAGGGTTTGGCTTCTGTTTATGCCCCAAACCTCAACAAAATGGCCACAGTGGCTGCTGTCATACTTTCTGGGTAGACAGGAAACCATGGGTGGTGATGAGCATGGAAAGTCTATGTTGTGTGGCTTCCGTGAAGTTTGTTGGTGCGATGCTGGAGGCCCAGAGTCGTAAGGAGAATGGGTCCACAGGCCCATTCCACGTCAATGCACTGATGAGGTTGAGTTTCATGGACTACATAATTTACCAGGGTTACTGTCATCCTTTCATCATGCAGATTCCACAATATGGAATAGTCTGCTTTTCAAGAACTGTGTAGGCCAGGCTTAAGCAAAGACATTCAAGTGAGCAGGTTTGTCAAGCTGCATATGCTAGATGACACGGACACCTTTACAGCCCAACAGCTCTCATCAGAAGTGATGCTCCACCTAGCACAAGGAAAGCTTGGTCACAGGAGAACTGCAGCTGCTGAAGGCTGAGAGGTACTGGGAAGGGAAAGGCAAGAGCTAGGTTTTTTAGTCAATTAAGTAGATTAGATGTGTAGATGCTGTGCACCTGACTGAAATGAACTAATGCCTTTGCATAGATGGCATAGTGGCCTTGACATTTTTGACATTTTCCCAGTAAAATTTGAGTTGTAGCTTGTGGTAGAAGTATTCTGAGGGCTCAGTTCATGGAAATGCATACCCTCCAACTCGGTTCTGTGACTGTCTCTTACACAAGTATGTGAGTGATGAGGAAGAAAGACAGCTAGTAAGTAGGATAAAACATAATAAAGGTGACTTAGAAGTCTCTGTAAGATTAATCCACAGATCCTAACCCACTGAGCTATAAGCAGCTGCTCTTGGCCCATCTTGCCAAAGTGGTCTAGACATACTTCACTGAGGAGTCACATTCAGCAGTTCCTTGCTTTCACCACAGAGTGTGTCCTCACTGTTAGTATTCGTTTTTGGAAAAAATATGCTTGCATCTTTCCAGAAGCAGAGAGTTCCAAAAGTAGTATTTTTTTTTTTTTTTTGAGACACAGGCACATTGCTTAAGGTTATACTGAGGTCACTACCATTTGCATTCATAGGGAAAGTAAGTAGCTATCTTAAGTTCACATGTGCAGGTTTACAGAATATGTTGACTATATGGATTTAGCACTAGGTAAGCAGAATGCACACATCATACAAAATTGCAGTGATGAGAACAGGTGGTCACACTGGACATCAAGGACATCTTGTTGCCATGAGAGTTGTTATACCCCTTAGGTATGATGCCGTCTTTTATAGTTAAACAGTTCACTTCTCAAGTTCAAGAAGAATAAGATGACTTGATTTTCCTACTTCTTAACACAGTGGGGCATTTAGAGTCCATTTCAAGTAGAAGAGTCCAGTAAATCCAAAGAAGGATTATGGTGTTCTAGGAGTGGCTGTTGGAGTTTTTAGCCCAGAGTGACACTGAAATCAATCAGGAACCTTAATTGTTTTATAATGACAGCACAACTGCCTTGATAAGACTTTTCTTAAATGCATATATATTTAAAATTAAAATATACATACCAATTTACCAAAGATAGATAGTACTAATTTTAAGCAAAAAATGACAAGAGGAACCCAAACATAATTTAAGAGAAAATAATCAAAATGTAGTTGTCTTAAGAATTTAGTGGTTATACTGGAAAATGCATTTCAATTTTAAAACTTTCTGTTCAAATGGTGCCAGTGAATTTTCCTATGAAGGGAAAAATGCCTGCTTTTTTTTTTTTTTTTTTTTTTTTTTAGGAGCTATGATTTCACGTAACCTTTTGCACTTTCCCTTAGTTGCTATTTAACATACAGTGTCAGCTTTACTTGTCTCTAGGAAGAAGGCATGCTACAAAACTAGGGAGGAATTGTGAAAAATATCTGGCCTCTATTTGTCTTAGCTGTTAAATTATTTTTAGTGTTTTTGTTAAATATTTGCAAAGAAAAGCATTTTCTACAGAGGATTATTAATTTCAAGAAAAATATCTTGAGTTTTAAGAAATAAACATCTCCAAAAAAGGAGACAGTCAATTTTGTAAAATGTCGCAACTCTCCAACATTTGGGGTAGTGACTCCTTTTTGTTAAGACATTTGAAACTAGCAAGCAGCCATTGTTTCTAAAGAATTCAGCCTTCATGTCGACTCGTTTCTTTAACTTCGTTTTGAAATAGCTGAAGTCATTAAAACTGTAAATATTTTGTTGCTTGGGTCAGCATCTTCTGGGAACTTTGTATCTATGGTATATAATCATAGAATTTTATATTTTCATATAAAGCTAAGTTTTTTCTAGTTTCAGCTCCATCATAGTTTTCTTGTTTTCTGTTGCTTTTTCTTTCTGTGGTGGCTATGTGAATTCAACTTTCTGTGTACTGAGATAGAAAGAACCATCTTTGCATTCCGAAAGAATCCAACATGTGTTATTCTTTGAGGCAGTGATTGTGACTGTTGGGCTTTCTTTCTAATTCCACTGACCATTTGTGCAATAGCAGTTAGGCATAATTAGTCACTGAACACATTTGTCACATTGACCCCTTTGGAAAAGGTGATTTTTTTATTTGTTTGGGGCGGGAGGGGTTTTGTAACCTGAACTTTTTTCCCTTTTTCTTCTGTTTGAAACTATATCAAATCATTCTATTATAGTGTTATTTAATATGTAAATTGTATTGCTATACATAAAATAAAGTATGGTTTTTGATGTATTCATTAGTATGAACATTTCTATGAAAATTACTGCATCTAGTAAAAGCAGATTACTAGTTGCTCCAAACACATCACATTAGTACCTTCGTGACTATCTTCTGTTTTCATTTTCACTGTAGTAAAATGAACATTAGTATTCATCTTTGCACAAGTAGCAAACCAAAAAGAAGTACCCTTCCTAGCTCAATTCCTCAATGTTCTTCCTAATTTGAAGAATAAATGGTGACAAGGTTTTATCTGTATATGGAATCAAACTCATCTGTGTTGTAACTCGTAAAATGGTAAACAGAATTCACTTTTGTCCACCCTATCAACTACCTTTGTGGCAACTTCTCCCTCTTATCAATTATTATCTAGCATGAAGGGCAGACTTGGAGAACCCTGGAATCTCTGTATGATTAGTACAGTTGCTTCCACTTTGAGGGAATTCTGGCATTCCCACAAGTCCTTTGGTCCACCATTCTCTCTTTCTCTCATAAGAGGCGCTATTACATTTTCCCTAAGTCACTCAGAATAGAAATCACACCAGTCCCTTCCAGGAGTACAGAGAAGAATAATTCCAGCACAACTGATACAAACCCAGGCTCCTTCAAATGCTACCCGTGGGACCTATAATACCCTACCAGAGAGTACACCAGAGGAGCAGGGATGATCT